TTTTTTTTTTTTTTTTTTTACATCAGATTTTAATTTGAGAAGAATCTGCACATGCCTTTTCTAAATAGAAACATTTCAAAATATACCCAGTTATTACTGAAATTTAAAGGTTTTTTGTTGTTGTTAATGCAGATGTAGTTGACATATAACATTGTAGTTGACATATAACATGTAGTTGACATATAACATTTAGGTACACAACACAAAATTACAAGTCTATATCTAGCTATCTATGTATGATAGAAATGCTTACTGCAATAAGTTTAGTTAACACGCATCACCTCACAGTGACAAGTTTTTTCTTATGACCAGAACTTTTAAGATCTACTCTCTCAGCAACTTTCTTTTTTTAAAATTTTTTTTTTTCAACGTTTATTTATTTTTGGGACAGAGAGAGACAGAGCATGAACGGGGGAGGGGCAGAGAGAGAGGGAGACACAGAATCCGAAACAGGCTCCAGGCTCTGGGCCATCAGCCCAGAGCCCGACGCGGGGCTCGAACTCACGGACCGCGAGATCGTGACCTGGCTGAAGTCGGACGCTTAACCGACTGCGCCACCCAGGCGCCCCTCAGCAACTTTCAAAAACACGGTAGTATTTTATAGTATTACTAACTGGACATGCTGTACACTACACCCCCAGGATGTATTTCTAACTGGAAATTTGTAACCTTCGACCCCCTTCACTCATCCCTCCATCCCCTGCCTCTGGCAACCACCAGTCTGTTCTCTGTATCTATGAGTTCATGTTTGTTTTGGTTTTGGTTTATTTATTTATTTTGAGACAGAGGGCACACACGTGCGTGTGTGCAAGCAAGGGAGGGGCAGAGAGAGAGAGAGAGAGAGGGAGGGAGAGGATCCCAAGCAGGCTCAGTGTTGTCAGCGTGGACCCTGAAGCCAGGTTCGATCCCAAGAACCATAAGATCATGACTTGAGCTGAAATCGAGACGCCTAACTGACTGAGCCACCCAGGCGCCCCTGTTCTTTGTTTTTTGGAATCCACATATAAGTGAGATCACGCGGTATTTGTCTTCCTGTTTGACTTACTTCATTTAGCATAAGGCTCTCAGGGTACATCAAATGGCTGGAAATGGTAGAATTTCCTTTTTTATGGCTGAATAATATCCCATTCTATATATTTTTATTACTTTTTTAAGACTATACATATTACATATTCTTTATCCATTCATCCATCAATGGACTTAGGTTGTTTTTAGATCTCAGTCACTGTATATAATGCGGCAATGAACATGGGGGTGTAGGTAGCTTTTTGAGAGGGTGACTTGATTTCCTTCTGGTGTATGCTCAGAAGTGGTATTGCTGAACCACATGGTAGTTCCATTTTGAATTTTTTGAGAAATCTTCATTCTGTTTTCCGGAGTGGTTGCACCAGCTTGCATTCCCACCAACAACGCACAAAGCTTTCCTTTCCTCCGCATCCTCGTCAACACTTGTTATTGTCTCTCTGATCATAGCCAATCTAACAGCTGTGAGGTGATATCTCATTGTGGTTTTTTTTTTTTTCAATGTTTTTATTTATTTTTGAGACACAGAGAGAGCATGAGCAGGGGAGGGGCAGAGAGAGAAGGAGACACAGAATCCGAAGCAGGCTCCAGGCTCCGAGCTGTCAGTGCAGAGCCCGACGTGGGGCTCGAACTCACGAACTGTGAGATCATGATCTGAGCTGAAGTCGGAAGTTTAACCAACTGGGCCACCAGGCCCCCCATCATTATGGTTTTGCATTCCCCTGATGATTAGTGATATTGCAGACCTTTGTATGTACTTATCGCAAAAACGTCTATTCAGGCCTGCTCACTTTTTAATCCAATTTTTCCGGGCGCTATTGAGTTGTAGGAGTTCTTTATGGAAATTTAAAGTCCTGATTCAGATGTCCAGCATCACAGCATAAAGGTAACATCCATGGAGATTGGTGTGCTTACGCTCTCCTCACAAGCTTTTGTTTTTGCACACATTTGTTATGTTGCCCTATGACGTGATAGACCCTACGAATGAGAATATCGTTAACAATTTACAATATGGAAATGCTAATGTAATAAACACAGTCTGAGAAAATATTCTTTTCCTTTTTATTACAATGTACTTCATTTTCTGTTATATGACAAACTCACTTGGTATAACCGCTTTGCTGCCCTTTATTTTCTGTGCGCTGGTTTTTTCTATGGTTAATTTCATGTACCCCCTCACCCACTTCTTTATTTCTATGTGGGTGGTTTCTACTTTTCCATCGACGTCTCTTGGTTCTCATTACAGTGAGTGATTAATCTTCCTTGCCTTTTATTCCATGTATTCTTCCCCTTCCTCCTCCTCTTCCTCCTCCTCTTCTTGAGGAGGAAATCAGGACAGTTTCATTTACCGGCGACCCTCCGGACCGAGCTTGGGTGGGGACGCCTGGGGCAAAGTGTTCCTGCAGCTTCTTCCACACGCCTCTCGCCATTTCCTCAAACGCGCCCCCCGGTGACTGTGGCCCCGGTCAACTCCCACGTTCCACGAACAGGCCACGGAAGCCCGCGTGTCCGGGGCGAGGCTGCTTGTGCAGGAGTTTGCGTGGAGTCAGGCCAAGCTTTCACACGGCCGCCCGCAGGCCTCAGGCTCCGCAGCCCGGGGCCCTCTCCCTCCTCGAAGCCCGAGCCGCCCGCCACACAAGTCAGCACGCGAGGCCGCCACCAGTCTCGCGCATGCGCCGTCCGCGCAGAACGGAAGGAAACACCGGAAATGGCCGGCCGCCATCTTGAGGCCCACTGCCTGTCTGTGGGTCCTTGGAGTGCCTGTACTGCCTCCTCCCTTTACCTCTTGGACGCGTTCATTTTACCTGGCCGGTTCACGAAAATAATTCCCTATTTTGTGCCCCAAATCTGTATTACCTTTTCATAAATTAAATTTCTTTCATTTTTTTTCACTCTGTGAAAGAGTGAGATCTTTTCACAGATCTCTTCAGCTTTTTACTTTCACGAACTTTCCCCTCTTCTTTTGTCTACTGAACCCTCACAAACTCGTATTTTGGGCTCACCCCAACAATGGGTTTCTGCAAATGCTGCTAGTTAGACATTTCTCTCATTCTGCATAGTAGACTGTGGAGAGTCCTGGAAGTAAATTATTTGTTTCAAGTCATAGTGGGGGTACAGTTGGATTTCCTATTGCAATATGAACATTTATATTAAACACCAACCCAGTATTAAGAGTTACCCAGGGGTGCCTGGCTGGCTCAGTCCTGGCGCATGTGACCCTTGATCATGGGGTTGTGAGTTCCAACTGAACCATTGGGTATAGACATTACTTAAAAATGTCTTAAAAAAAAAAAAAAAGTAAAGAAAAGAAGAGAACTACCCAGAAACAAGATTTCCGCTTGGTCAACAGGCGAGGAATCTCAAGCAGGCAATCTTGGCTAGTATGGGACTGTAAAAATACCCCACTCATCTCCTGCTCCAGGGAGGGTAACTGGCGGAGCCCCTCAGTCACTGGTCTTGGAATCCAGCACCGCAATCTTGGGAAGGGAAGGTGGGCTCCAGCACTCTGGTCAGCCCGGCCAAAACCATCTCTGAGCTACACTGCTGAGAACTTCCTACCCACCCGGCCCCCTCTATCTCCCTGCCCAGGGGCCAGATCTCCCTGCCTACTCCAACTCTCTCCCCTTTCTTCCTCCTATAAATCTCTTGCATGACAATCCTGTCTTTGGCATCTACTTTGCAGAGGATCTGAACTAACAGGATGGTAGGTCATAAACACAAGATTACTCGGAGACGGACTGCCTCTTCCTTGCACTAGATTTGTCCTCCCAAACGAGGGGACTCTCCTCTTCTCAAAAGTCACTCAAGGAAGAACTTTAATTTATAACCAGCTACCACACCCTCCACCTAAGAGCCGCTCCCCACACCACTCCCTAATGGGCACAGCTCAGGCCACACCTGAACTGCAGCCCGACACCTTCCCAACTACCAAACAAGCGGGTGCAAGCACCCCCGCCCCACTTTCCTCCTTCCCAAGTGTTATTCTTCATTTCCGGGAGTCAGTGAAGCTTATCCTAGAGACCTTTCTCTTTTTAGTAAGGCTTTATTACTGCATTCATAATAATTAAAGCAAAATGCCTTGCAGAAGAATAGCATTTTTTGTTACTTTCTCAAACCTTTTCTAAAAACATTGGCTCATTTGATCCACATGATGACCGTGACTGTAGACGGGACTAGCATCATCTTCACGAAGAAGAAACTGAGACACAGACCGGTCTCTGTGGGCGTCGATTTCCAAGTCTGTCCAATGAAGACTCGAACCCTATGACCTGTGAGTCCTCTTCTCCTTTGAAAATGGTAGGATTTTCATTATTTGTCTGATATTGCACAGTTAGTGGGTGTGAGATGGATGCCCTTCGGTGCCGGGCTAATTCTCCCATGCTGTGTTCTCTTTGCTGACGACAGAGCTGGCCGACGTTTACTAGCTGTCCCCGTCTGCCATGCCCTGTGCTGATGACCTGCAGGAGCACTGGGAAATACCTGCTCAGCTCCCTCTCCTGCCCGCCTGGAAGTATTTAGGTTTGGCTTCCACACACACTTATCAGGAGCGGACACTACCCCTGCTCTGAGAATGTACTCCTGATTGGCTTAATCTGATCAACATTTTCTGTGCTCCAGATGACAGTCCCTGGTCTAGGGCCGGGCCCGGGCCCAGGCCCAAAAGGTCCAACCGGGGTGAACTGGTGGAATCTGGCCTGGATCAGGGATGTAGGTGTACTCTCTCCTACCGGATATAAATCAGGAAGCACTGTCTTTATTGCTCCTGGCAGCCTCTCTGTGGCCCCAAGGGGGAAGAGCCACAGGATTCTTGTTTGGGCCAATAGTTTTTAGCAGCTAAAATCCATGAAACGTCGTCTAGGTCCCTAACAATGAACAATCAACATAGCCAAAGACAGATGAGGTCATTGAGACTCAGAGTTACTAGACTTTGCCAGGCTCACACTGCCTGTTTGGGGAGGTGAGGATTAGATTTCAACTTTCCACCAACTGACCCAGGGTTCTCCTGGCCTCAGCAAGTAGAGAATGTGCCCCGGTGCAAAGATTCTTGAGAAAAATCAGAGTTCTAGCTGCTGAGCTGACCCCAGAAGTGTTTGAAGGGGAGGAAGGGGAAACTAGAAGACGCTTCCTTCTTTCGTCTTTCCAGCCTAAGACAGAAAGATGACAGGGCCCGAGCTGAGCATGAAGGTTAACACAGAACCAGAAACCTTTCCCTTCCCCCACCCTACCCTTCCATCAAGCAAAGAGCCTCTGAGACTGCCCTGGAGGAAGAAGGCGTTGCCTGCCAAGTTCCTGCCTACCTGGGGTCAGGGTGAGGACAAGGCAGGGAGGACTTGTTTGAACCGCTGGAAAAGAGGTGGGCAAAAGGGTGGCCTTGGGGCAACTCAGTCTTCTTGTGAAACAATAGCCAGAAATAAAGCACACAAATTATCAAAACATTTACAAACGGAATAGCTATTTTGGCAGAATCAGACACGGACGGTTCGGTTAGCCCATTGGATCACAGAAAACATACCATTCATTTATTCATCAAGGATTTATGGATGAATACCTTCTGCCCGGAAGGTGTGCTCACATCTTAATGGGGGAGGGGAGATGAAGGGAAACAGACCGTAACAAGTAAACAAACAAGATGAGTTCAAACTGTGCTCCTGCTCTGAAGGAATTAACAGGGTGATATGATAAAACGCACTTGGTCAGGCAGGAGGAGTCCTACTTTAGATACTGTCAGAAATGCCTGCCCAAGGTGACACATGAGCTAAGCCATAGAAATCTCAAGAAAAGCTGATCCAGACAGGTCAGGAAACAAGTGCAAAGGCCCTGTGGCAAAAAGTGCTTGGCAGAAAAGGTGGTCAGTGTGCCTGGAGTGTGGTGAGCTGACACTGGAGAGGAGGCCAGGATCCCATGAGGCAAGGCCTCGGAAGGCATGATGGGGGCTTTGTAAGGTGCCAATGCAGCTGGAAATACCAGTCTGCCGCCATTCTTCTGCATATATTAATGAGCCATGGTGGATTCGCCCAATGGACCTCTGGGGTTTGACCCCAGATTGAGTTTGAAATCTCCCAATTTAATAACCTCGGGAAAGCTACTGGAGTTTCCTCATTTGAATAATCAAGGGTTTGAAGCCGAAAGACTTGCGTGGCGATTAGCTCCAAATCTCAGCATTATCAATTTATCCTTACAATCAAAAGCAGCCATTTACAAAACTTGCACAAATTTTGGAGGAAACCCAGAATTTAAACTGTCAGAAGACCACTGCATGAACGATCGATGTAGCCCTCCCCGCCCGGAAAAACCAATTACGCTGTCGGGCCAAGCAACTCTTGTCGCTGCAGCCTCACTCTGCCCTTTATAAGAACTCAATCTCGAGCCTGGGTCTGGGTCGATCTGGGGGTTCCAGCTCATTTTCCGTCTCACAAACTCAGAGCAATAACCATCTTCGTGCTGATATTTACCGCGTTTGCGCCAGCCCTCCGCCCAGCAGCGCGGGGAGGTGGGTCCCCGCGGCCGAGTCCGGGGGCGGGCGGAATGGAGGCGTGGGGCGGGGAGAGGGACGCGCGCGGACGACCCGACAGATGGGCCCCGGGAGGAAACCCGGGAAGGCGTTTTCGGCCTCCTACTCGGGGAGAAAGGAAAAGCGAGTGACGCAAAAAGGAGGAAAGGGGCAGGAGGAGAGCGTGCGGGCAGCGCAGGGCGCCGAGCGCTGGGGGCAGGCGCAGGAGGGCAGCGAGCGCGCCGCGGAGCTCGGCTCCCGGGACGGCGGGCGACGCGGAGGGGAGACGGGGAATGCTGGCAGCGAAGTGGCGAGGGACCGGAACAGAACTCGGGAGGACGCCGGCCACGAAGGACCCGGCAGAGACCTAGCGCTGAGCCGCCAGCCGGGCGGAGCTGCGCAGGAGGGGCCGCGGAGAGGGTGGGCACCGGGCCGGAGGCCAATGGGAGGGCGAGTCGGGACGGGGCGGGGCGCCAGGCAGCTCGAGGCCAATGGGGGAGGGGAGTCAAAGGCAGGGGCGGGGCGCCGGGAGGCTCGAGGCCAATGGGAGGGGAGTCAGAGGTAAGGGCGGGGCGCCGGGAGGCTCGAGGCCAATGGGAGTACGAGCTGGACCGGGGGCGGGGCGCCAGGCTGCGAAAGGGCCAATAGGAGGCTGAGCCGGGGAGCGCGGGCGGCCGTCGTGGCCGCCGCCTGGGGAGAGGGACCCGGAAGGCGGTGGGGGCGGGGAGCCTGGCTGACAACCTGTCAAATCCACTTTGGGGCGAACTAGGTCACGCGCCTCCCCGAGCCAGGGCGCCCCCGCCCTGCGCGGCCCAGCGGGTGGCCCGCGGGCCGGCCCGGCTGCTTCCTCTTCCTGCCGGCGGTGGGGGCGGGGCGGGCTCCGGGACACCTGCCTCCCCGGCCCTGCGGCGGCCGCTCGTTTTCCCTCTGCTCCCAGGCGCTCGTCCGCACGGGCTCTCCCTGAGACAGTCGGGCCCACCGCGGCTCCGCAGTTGAAAACAGGGCCCTCCCGAGCAGCCATGCAAAGTTGCGAACTCCCCACGGCGCCGCTCGTTCGTGGGGAACGGTGGCCCAGTCCCCGCGTTCGCGGAAGCCGGCTGCCGGCGCACTACTTGGCGCGGAAGGAGCCGCGGGCGGCGGAGGGATCCCGTGGCCGCAGCACGGAGCGGTCGGGGCCGAGGCCCGGCCCCGCGGCGGCGAGGTGCGCGGAGCAGAGCCGGGCGGCCAGCCGCGCCGGTGCGTCCCAGTCACCTGCCCCCGCGGGAGAGCAGGCGGCTCGCGGGCCCCGGGCGGCGGGGCGGCGCTTTGTGTCTCTGGTGTAGCGGGTGGAGGGGGAGGCTCTGCCGGCCGGCCCTTGTCGTCACTCAGACGCTTCTCCCTGCTTGAGCTCCGACACGTAGTTCTCGAATTGTTTCCAGGCGAATGAAATGAAATAAAAGCCTCAATTAGAAGTCAGCACTATACAAGTCCCGGGGATTATAAATCTGCTCCAACATCATCACGTGGGATTTATGCCCTTGCACTTCTGCTTAGGCCATACGTCCATTTCTCTTCAATATGGATCCTTAATAGAGCTGTATCCGCCTTTTTAAGGTCTTCAAAATGGATGTTGATGCACACTCTCTAATTAGCAATACTTATGTTAATGTATCGATCCTGTTCTCCATTATTTCTCGATGCAAATGTGCTTAGAACTTTTGCATTGAATGGACAGTAAATGTAATGCTTTGTTTAATTTTTACTACTTGGCCATTCAAATTATGCTAATTTCCCCCCAGAACTAGGTGATGCATTGTTTTAGGTAACAATGACCCAACTCCCCTCCTCTACTCCCAGATTGTATAAAATCGAAGGGTAAAATGTAGATTGAAAACCCTAAAGTTGGAACGCAAAATTTAAATTATTGCCATTGTAATTATGTGAAGTGTGTCCTTGCAGCATTACAATGGAATGGAACAAATAAAAACATTGCCTTTTCGTTCAAATATTTCTTTAAACAAACGCCGTATTTCTTAAATACATGCAAGCATTGTGCTTAAACATTTGCATATGTCTAAACGGAAAACATTGTGCTCATTTTTATTACTTTACCAAAGGCATATTTCATCAGTAAAATACGTTTATTTCCTTTTAAAGTCTAGCCTTTAAATGCGTTTTAGCTACCACTTGGAGAAGAAAACAATATACTAGATCGTCTATGTATAGAGTGTAGAGATGTAATTTTTTTACATTTACGAGTAACATGGTCATCAAGAAAAAACTGGATAAAATGAAAAAGTAAACTGTTCTCTAAATTCAACATAGATATGAACTTACTCGTTCATTAGCTGTAGGATTATAATTGTTGGAAGTACCATAGTTTTTACTCTGTAATATAGTATTATCAACAAAACTTTGGGATAGATGTCCAACTTTTTGATATAAATTTAAATTGAACAAAACAACAAAAGACCGTTGATAGGTTTTGTTATACCTAATTCCTCACTCCTAGCTAATTTTCCAAAGGGCATAGTTCTCTATTTTGACCAGTTGGCAACCTAACAGGGTTAAAAGATTCTAGCCCTTTTTGGGGATATAAAAAAAAGTTATCTTCCCTCATTTCCAAAGTTTTGTTGTCACTTCCCACTGAAAGGTGTGGGTTTTTTTTGTTGTTGTTGTTATCCTTTTAATGTTAATTAATAGTCACTAAAAAGACAATAAAACCACAAATGTTTTTCTGCAATTAATAAACCACAAGATTGTTAATAACAGAAAGTCAACTTTCAGAACATAAGCTTGAATTGCATATCCTCACACAAAAATTGCATGCTGGAAGTTAGCCATTAATAAGTAAAAATGGAGATTTTTAAAGTCAAAGTGCAATACTAAAAAAATCATCTTGCTACTTTGGGGTATATTTTCACTCATTTAACAAAGGGCTCAAAAATGTTTCTTAACATGAGTGTTTTGATACAAGGCTTCACATCGCTTTTTAACTTCTGATTTCATAAAAAAGCTAAATCCTGCCATTTCTCTTCTCTTCAAATATGAAAATTAGAAACATTCTGCCTTAATTATCTCTTCTGTTGTATCCCTTGCTAGCAAATTCTTTTGGAATAGATTTGGGAAATTCATTAGCTTTATAAGTGGAGTTACTGTTTTCCCTAAACACTTCATGGATAATTCCTTACAGGAGGATTTTTCTAATTCTCTACCAACATGTGTTGGCACAATTTTATTTCTCAGTTGGTACTGCATTTCCTGGACGAGAAGAAAACAGCAGGGAACCTCTTTACTTCCTTTGGGGAGGAGGGTGGGTGGCTTTACCCCAGGGTAAAGACATTGTCATGGCAGCTTAGCCTGGGCTGTATGATTGGAAATTCAGCTTGAACCAAAAGGGGTAAAAGATCCTGTGAACGGGAAATAAATATGCCTTGAGTTAGAGGTTGCAAACTAGTGGTCTGCAGATGTGTTTGTTTGCCTCTGACAATGTTCAGGAAGTTTTTAGTTTCCAAGATTTCAAAAATGGGAGACTTGAGATTATGGCTAGTTTCTTGTCTGGTTATGTGCTGAGATAGCTGACTAGTTGCTGCCCCCTTTACACAGGGTATACATTGGCTCCCCTGGGCTCAATGCAATCGTTTATTCTAGACATCTGGCCACTGGAGGAATCTGTGTTTGGGATACCTGCTCCAGGTTCTATAAAATTGTGAAAGACATCGTCACAGAGTGAAGGTAGACTTAGGAAGAAGACATGATCCTAAGTTTCTAAGTAAATACGATGAGCTCAGAAATGAAAAGTCACTGGGATTATATATGGCAACTGGATGTATCCCATTATTTCTGATATCAGTCCCCTGGCACAAGGCAAAGTCAGGTTGTATCAAAGAGGAAAAAAAAATTTTTTTTTTAAAGAAAATGATGCTTTTGTGTTGTACTTTCCACTTGGAAAGGCACTGCCTTGATTCAAATGAAAATCACTGGAAATCTTGGCTAATGGAACCTAGGAACAGTAGCCAAATGCGAAAGACTGTGCAAGAAGAAGAGATTCCCCAAAGGGCTACAGAGTAACAGTGATGGTGATGATGATGGTGGCAACAATGTCTTGACATTTTTGAGCGATAACTGTGTGCTGGACATTGTTCCAAGTGCCTTATCTGAACTATGTCATATTGTTATATTTTACTTTCCAATTTGCTACCCCACCTTCTTTTTCTTCTTGCAGCTACCTTGAGCTCTCTAAAACTCTAGATGAGGTAAATGCTATAATTTTGCTGAGCCTTAAGATGGCACTAACCTTTGGCCTTGACTGGTTCTGAGTGCCTGGATGTTCTTTTTTTGCAGCCTTTCCTTGACTGTGCCCCAAGTTTGTCCTCCCTTAGGCCTCTTCCTGTCACGGTCTATGTGTCTATTCCTACTGGCACCAGACTTCTCACCTCAGCAAGAAATATTCTTGGGCAGAGGGTAGAGAGAATCAGCCAAGGCTGCGGCAACAAACGTGGTAGGAAGGAAAAGAGGGATGAAAGAGAGAAATAAGACAGACAGCACTAAGGACAGGGAAGGGGGGATGGACACAGAAACAGCCACCTCACATCCTCTCTTCCCCAGCAACATCGTCATCAAAATCAACATCAAGACCCAATGAAAACAGCTGCATCCTAGAAAAGTGTCCAAGTTTGTGTCCAGATAGATTGTTTTTGATGATTGTTGGGAGTATGAGCAGACTGACTCTGTTGTTACATTCAGGTGAAACCCAGATACGTCTATGAGGGAAGTTTAAATAATATATGTAATCAACATATATAGATATATAATGTACCTTACATATTATCTAATTAGTATATAATTATCTAATTAATATATATAAATATATAATATCTATTATATTTTCATATAATAGAGTGTTTATGAAAGTTTTAATAAGATGGCTCAATACCATATTAGATGAAGAAAAGGCAAAAAAAGTTGTATATAAAAACATTTAGGGGGCACCTGGCGGCTCAGTTGGTTAAGCATCTGACTTTAGCTCAGGTCACGATCTGATGGTTTATGAGTTAGAGCCCTGTGTCGGGCTCTCTGCTGGATCCCCTGTCACCCTGTCTCTTTCTGCCCCTCCCCAGCTCATGTTCTCTCTCTCTCTCAAACTGAATAAACAAACTTTAAATAAAACAAACATTTCCTTTAAAAAATTAGGAGTTAAAACACTGTTTTAATTTTTTTTATTGTTTGAATGTTTATTTTTGAGAGAGAGAGAGAGAGAGAGAGAGCGAGCGCGTGAGCAAGGAAGGGGCAGAGAGAGAGAGGGAAACACAGAATCTGAAGCAGGCTCCAGGCTCCGAGCTGTCAGCACAGAGCCTGATGTGGGTCTCGAACCCACGAACCATGAGATTGCGACCTGAGCCAAAGTTGGATGCTTAACCAACTGAGCACCAGGTGCCAGGTGCCTCATATATTGCTTTAATTTTTAATTGATTAAAGTATTACATGAATATGTTTAAAAGGCTAGAAAAAATGGCAAAATAACGGTGGTTCTGGATGTCCAAAAGTTTTCTAGTGACTATAAAGTCCTTATATAATCAAAAGAAGATGAAATAATTAAGAACCAGGGGGGGAAACTAAAAATCAAGCAGAGAATGTATTTAACTGACTTTTAGTTCTAGGAAAGAAACTAAAAACTACACTATTGCTACAGATGTTTCTCTCTCCAGATTTCAAAAATGGTTTCCAACTCTCTCAAGGGGACTGAGCAAGAGAGGACAGATGGCTGAGCGGAAGCCACTCCCAGTGTATAAAAGTAACTCAGAGTACATGTCACGCTGATGCCACATCTGTGATATCTGCTTTGAGCCGAGAAGTATGGCACATACCGTTTCCCCCTCCTAGGGACTTGGAGCATATCAGTCCCCATGTGCGTTGCGGAAGGATAAGTATATAGTCCAGAGCATCTAAGAAGGTGTATTAGTTTCCTAGGGCTGCCACAACAAAGTACCACAAACGGAGTGGCTTAAACAACAAAAAATGTATTTTCTCAAAACTCTAGTGGCTGGAAGTCTGAGCTCAAGGTGTGTACAGGGTTGGCTTTTTCTGGAACCTCTCTCCTTGGCTTGTGATGGCTGCCTTTTTGTCGTGTCCTCACATGGTCTCCCTTCTGTGTCTCTGTGTCCTAATCTTTTCTTATAAGGATACCACTCATATTGGATCTGGATTCACCCTACTGACTTCATTTTAACTTAATTACTTCTTGGGGCGCCTGGGTGGCGCAGTCGGTTAAGCGTCCGACTTCAGCTCAGGTCACGATCTCACGCTCCGTGAGTTCGAGCCCCGCGTCAGGCTCTGGGCTGAT